AATAATAATAATGAAATAATACATTTTATTTAAAAGAAGGCGCTTTTCTGAATACTCAAAAAGACACTGTACCAATATAATGAAAGAAGAATACGAAGAACATCAATAGGGCTAAAAAAACAATATAAAACAGTACATTACATATGTTAAAAACAACATTAGACTCAGATTTTAAAAAGCCAGTTTGAAAAGGTGTGTTTTTGTCAGTGATTTGAATGTTTGGAGGGTCGGTACAGTCCGGGATGGCTTTGGGGAGGAGAGCTTCCAGGGGGAGGGGGCAAGCTACAGAGAACGCTCTGTCGCCGTAGTAACCAAACACCTCCTTCACACTTGGTAGTAGACTGAACCTGAGGTGCAGCTCTACTCTGAATATTAGTGTGTCTGCTTTGTCAAGGTGGAGACCTTCTTCTCTGGGCTGCATATCAAACGTGCACAAGGGCCAGAGATGTTCACATGGCGTCTTTTATACTTAACACAAGTTTGTTTTTTCTGTTTCAAACCTGAATCCCTTTGAAAAAGGAAAGTTAGAAAAAACAATTAGCTTGTTTTACACAGGGCCACACAACAGGTTGTTGGGTTTTGGGATGCTTGCGGTCAGCTCCTCTGTGAGCCTCTGAGACCTACGTAACCCATAACACCCTTCTTTGTGTAGCTCTGCAGAGACCTTTATGTGGATCTCAACTGAATCTTTCTTTGAGACATTTATCACCTCGACCAAAACGTAGAAAACTATGCCTCGAGAAAAGATTGTACAAGATTTGATAAGTGGACTCTTGATTTCAGATTCCATAAAATGCTTCTGAGTGGAAAGCAAACAACAAATGTCTTGTGTGAGGGCACAGAGCAATAGCCAGCTCTGCCTCCTCTCTCCCAGCCACATCCGGTCCAAGTGTTTCTGCCTGTTCTGGCAGTTTGACTGGCATGCTGGGAGATGAGCAGGGAAATCAAACTCTCGCCTACACCGGCCTGGAGACTTTGAGACCTTATTTCTGACTCCTTCACGCTTCCTGCTCTCACTTTCTTTTCTGTCTTGTCGTCTTGCTTCCCTCGCTCCCAGCTTGCTTTCTCTCGCTCTCCTCATCCCTTTGCTCTTTCCCCTCCTCCTCTTCGTGTCTCTGCGTCTGTCTGTACAGGGAGTCAGGGGAGCGCCCTAGCAGGAGGCCTGTCCTGCTACAACCCCTGCTGCTCCCCATTCATTTCCCTTCCTCCCTCCCCGCCTGCTTCTCGTTCTTTTCATCGCCCTCCTCCACCGTATCTCATGCATTTCTCTTCCTTCGCTCAACTCTTTCTCCACGCTGCACATACTCTGCTGCTCCATTCATCTCCCACCCTCCCCCTTGTCTTCATCCCCATTCCAGTTTCTCTACAGCGCTGCTGTCGTGAACATCTTATTGTCACCTCACCTGTTGAGGCGGGGGAGAGGAATAATAATCTGCTGTGCTTCCTAGCAGGCTTTTTTTGCATACACTTTACAACTTGCACAACTTGACTCTCCACCTATCCGAGTCAGATATGAGAAAATGTTTCCCTTTGGGAATCGCATGAAAGGTAGAGCAGAGGCATACAGGAACACAAAGGAGTCAGAGGACTGAAAGCAGTGAATAAAATAATAATGTGATACTGCACTGATCCCAGAGGACAGGGAGGATGTACTGGGACAAAGATTCAGCCCTGGATATCATTCCCATCATTGCCCTCAATCCAATCGAGTACACTTGCGCCTTGATTCCACGTGGCAGGGCTCTGCGATGTTGCTTCCATGATGCTGTTTTAGTCAATCATGCAGCTTCATGCGCCATTAGGAGGGTTTCAGAAGTAGAGCATTTTGCCAGATTTTCTTAACTTGCTCAGATGTGGTTATATTTCTTTGATTTGTGTGCATCTACCATGGGTAAGTAGGCTATATAGTTACAGTGCTTCCTTTTTGTCTGTTTTTACAATTGGGAGTCTGCACAGGGTGTTTTATTTTGAAAGTTAACCGGATTCTCTAGGACATTTCTGTGTCTGACTTCCTGCCAGCTCAAACTGCTCTATACCATCAAAAATAGATCAGCTGCGTATTCTCCACAGAGCAGAGCCGAGAGCTGCTTCTGGGAAGCTTTTGAAACGCACTGCAGCGCTTCTGGTGCTAACCATTGCGTAGAACGGCCGCAGTGCCAGCTGGAAGCAACATGTAAGCCTCTCAGCTAGGGCTTCCCCAGGAAGTTGCTGAACAAATGTGCTGGTAAGTGCTGCGTACCAAATCCTGGCGCACCTTATCTTGTGATCAATTTAGTTCCTAGATGATGGTCTAACCAGTCCGGTACTTTACAGATGTGGCCTTGGCTATGTGAATTAACACCACTGCTCCTTTTCCCTGAAGTTGAATATATTTCATAGAAGTGTAATAGAATTGTAAAGTGGAAGGGGCCACTGTTTCCGGGGGTACTTTTCCCCAGTCTACTCCCATTTCAATGTTTCTTTTAATGAAATCCTCAATATTATTTGGCTTAGAATGTTTACTGGACAATGTAACAATCCCAGATAATTATGTTTGGCCGTTTAATTATTTCTAAAAATAATTTTCTTTAATAAAATGTAATACCACAAAACCCAAGAGCCTCAGCAGCTACTGCTGTGGAGCAGAAGCCTGTCACCGGTGTAAATCAGAAATGTATATCATTCAAAACCCTCTACTTCAGTAAGAAACAAAACATAGTACTACTGTTGCTGTAGACATCTAAAACTGAAAAACTGGCCATTGTTATATCAGTTTTCTCAACAGCATGCTCTGTAGCAACTCATTAGCAGTGCTCAATATGGAGAATATTTTTGTCTAGTGTTAAATGCCAGTTTAATCACTGATGGATTAATCCAAATCACTTTAGTAAACAAGCAGCTGCCTCTTGTTTACATGTTATTTACATATGACCCTGATTTGGGTGTGCTGAACAATACTTGGCCTGTTGTTCAAGCTTTGGGATGGATAGGATGGATAACATTGCATCATCATACCCAATGTGTATGGCTTTGGGCTACAGGACATTGTAACAGGCCTTTTTCATACATTTTAAAGATTAATCGATTCATTTAGAAAATAATCCGAATTTGAATTTATACTGAAAATAACTGTTAGTTGTAGCTCTAGTGGACACGTTTTCCAAGCAGATATGAGATTGATCTCAGAAAGTCAAGGAGGGCACTGAAAAATACACAATTTGTCATAAGTAAGGGAGGTACTTTTTCCTTTTTTAATTATAATGACTCCTCACAGACAGAAAAAGAATTGTTGAATAGGTATGAGGTGGTTGCGTTTTCCCCATAGGAAATTGCAGCACATAATACTCAACAGGGACAAAACCAGCAGCCCCTGAGGGACATGTCGTCTGTGTTTAGGCTCTGAATAAATTCTGCCCCTGACTCTGCTTCCCCAGTTCTTGCATTAGGCTGAATATTAAATTGGAAAAAAATAATAAAGGCAATTTAATTCAGAAAAAAATCCGGAAGGGAATATCCACAGGCGATCAATTTACTCCATCATCATTGCACAATGCTTTCAACCCATCAGCCAGCCACGTAGGCTACAGGATAAATACTGAATGTAATTATATTCTAGGGAAGGGTTTTCTAGAGGTTTCCACTGACTCTAGCTGGACTGAACTGATGAGATGTTCCACTTCACCACACTTCATGGCTTTCCATTCATACATGTAAAGGTGAGGTGCAACATTGTGTGTTACTGTGTGTGTAAATTTGCAGCCCATTCTCACCCCCAACTCTCAAGTCCCAATATGGCTGGTTGGTCAGTGGCCCTCCGCTTTAAAGTAGGCACCCTTCCTTTCTGGAGCCGCCCATGTAACATAATAGTTTGTGGTATGTGCCGAAATACAACTTATCTAACGTTACATGGTAAATGGTAAACGGACTTATATTACAATATAATATAGACTACTCAAAGCACTTTACTCTACATGCCACATTCACTCAGTGATACACATTGACACATTGATGGCAAAGGCCATCACAATCAGAAACTAATACTGATTTACTAAAATCCATATGCCAATGGCACAGCATCAGCAGTAATTTGATGCTCTAGCTCCTGAGCCACAGCCGCCATACATCAGGTACGTAACATAACTTATTTTTTCCTAAAACTAACCAAGTAGTTTTTGTTTATAGACCTAACCAGCGTGCGACCGTTTCACAAATCGCACAAGCTTTATTTTGAAAGTCCAACCAGGAGTTGCATATTTATTGTTGCTAACTTGACCACAAAGCCCTCCAGACCGTGCATGGCCTATTTCACTTAAACAAGCCAAGCTTCAGTCTTTCAGGAGGTACCAAGAGATAATTATCATAATCTCCGATGGCAAATAAACATCCAGAAATCCACACTCCCTGTAATTCCACAACTTGACGGACAATCATCAGGTTTAAGTCATCAAGTGACTGTACATCCGTACATTGTAAACAGGAAGAGCTAATAACTAAATCGGCAAACAAAACAAATAAAGGCTAAACAATATGGGGCTCAAGTTGCTCACAGCTAATTCAGTGATAGTAAATCTTTCTATGCTCAAATTCTCTGGGTAATGACTGCCAACGTGCCCACTCAGTTCAACTGCCTCATGTTGGTAGTTGCTTTCTCACCCCTAAAAAAAACATACACTGATTTGCCTTCTGATACAGAGTTAAATAACATGTTATTATAGGTTAACCTTAGCATAAAGCCCAGTTTAGTCCAAACATAAAATAATCTGCCAACCAGCACCAATTTCACTACAAAAATTAACATTTTTAAATAAATTACTGTTTTTTATGGTTGCGCCAGACTATTTCTTGGTGTAGCAGAGACTCCAGAAAGATAATTATGTAAACCATTTCTCATTTTTATACAGGTTTTGTTTTTGGTAGTTACTTTGTATTGTGCTCCAGATGTCAAAGCCAACCCTTGAGGGTTCAACTCCGCGTCACATTCTCTGAGCCAGTTTATGATAGTCGGTAGGTCGTGTACTTACAGCCTCGGTGTGGACAGGGTGCACAGCAAAGAGGAGTGCCGTGACGAAGGCCAGGCGCGAGTCTTCCAATGCGTAGCGCTCACATGTGTGCATGAGCAGGCAGGTTACGGCGCAATGCAAACACACGTTGACGATGTGGAAATAGAGAGGCGTCATGCCGGCCAGCACGATGTTCAACCTGACGGATAGACAGAGAGAGAAATATTCAGCACGGTGGGGATGACACGGGAGCTGACTGTGTGAAAGTGATTTGTTCGTGTGTAAAAGATATTAGAAAGGAATAGAACTTATACAAAACAGACAGAAACAGGCTGATGGATAGATAAGCACAGTCAGTGTCATTCATTTTCCCATGAACCCTAACCAGATAAAGACAAAAACGGGTCAACCTTATCTAAAACAATCACTCAGCTAGACACCGCTGTGGATTTACTGAGGGAATCTCTAAAGTAAATTACCTTTTACATTTCCTGGATTAAAGTGATTGTTTTATAATCCTGAACAGAATCTCAATCCATTTTCCGCAGTGCCATGAATTTGAAATGAAAAGAGCATGATTGCTTTGAGAGAGAATGTCGGCTTTCCGACACCAAATCACACCCTGCTTAAGATCTTCCAGCAACTAATCCCTCAGTGAGGAATGGCAGTGAGATATGCCATTTTCACCTAGTTTATCATAATTGGTATTACGCTGTGACAATTCCCTCTCCACCCAACAGAATATCAACAACCTGATAATAGCAAACCAAGAAAGAGTAGAGCAATGCAGTGGTTCAGGTTCCAGCTGTCATTCCATGATATTTACATTTTCTTGGCTAGGACCAGTAGCAGAGACTCCAGGAGGTACTGGTCTCAGCCAAGAAATAGCCAGCCATATAACCGCTGGAAAATGACTGAATTGTTGTTTTCACACTTTGGTTTTACTGAGCATTTGTACAGATTTTGAAACCTTCGGACAGCACCAAGCTAGCCATTTCCCGTTTCCAGTTTTTATGCTAAGCTAAACTAACCAGTTTTGGGCTGCAGCTTCATATGTAATGGACATATACAAGAGTGGTAGCAATCTTCTCCGCCACCAGAAAGCAAATAAGCGTTATTTTCCAAGTGTTCCTCTGCTGGGTGCAGGATTAGAGCAGGCAAGATGGCTGGCAGTGGCAAAAAAGGCAACGTCAATGCTCTTATAGTGGTCATTCCATTATATTTCCATTTCCATAGTGTGGCTGAATCATTTCATCAAATGAGTGAATAGTTATAAAACATAATTGTGAATGCAATTTAAATTATTATTTTCTATAAATTATAAATTATCCAGTCATGGTCCAATTTTAAGAATACTTAAAATAATTGACTCAAACACTGATTTTATTTGCATATTTTATTTGCTCTAGTTCTCATGGCATGCTTGACTACATGCAACTAAATGCCCATGATCAACATAATGCCCTGTGTTTGTGATTTTTCAAACACATTTCTTTCTTTCTGTGACTCTGACACAAAAAGCTGGACTCTTGTGTTGCATTTGGCTTTACCACTGAGGTTCTGTCTGGTCAGGTCTTCAAGACATAGGTTTGGATCTAAGTTTAAAGTCAGTGCACAACTCTACTATTTAAACCTTTATGCCCGGGATACCTCCTGGTGAGACAGTCATTACTAAGTAGATCAAGCTCAACTACATTCTAGGGGAGATCCCAAAGGTTCCAAAGATACCAAATATGTCAGTCTGAGTTGTGGGGAAATATGTAGAAAAAAGAAAAAGACAGCTAGAACCTGCATTTTAAGCAGCCATATGAAGTATTGGGTTTTAATATTCAACTCAGGGTAAACATCATGCAGCTTCAATGAAGACTTAGAACGAGATGGTAAAGAACATGTGATACTGTCAGAGTGGAAGAAGATGATTATTCCTTCCTTAACTCTACTGAAAAGGAAAAAGGTTAAAACTGTATGTTAATGTGTCTTTATATGTAGTCTACCCCCAAGTCATAGCTTTGCAGAACAGAAAAAATCAAACAAACAGGGAGAGCTTAACGGAACATGGCTTCACATCTGAACTCCTTATCTCTGATTGTAATTAGTTCTAATGGGGTCCTCTGTGAGCTCTCATCTAGTCCATTAAGTTATGAAGGAGACTCTGGCCTCTACTATCCCTCTTTTATCCATAATTCAATGAGGACGGCCGATAAAATCTGCTTGAGTTTGCAGCGAGAGCCTTAACCCTCACCATTATCTCACCCTGACTTTAGCTGATGCTGATCTGCCCTCATAGCTGATGCCGAGAGGAGTGTGGAACAAGCGAAGGCCCGTGAGATGAAATTCCCCGAAGGCCCAGCCTGGGTCCCGACCCATCCGTAAACTGAAGGCTTCAGAGGAATTTAAATTTCTCATTTGCCGGAATTTAGCTGATGTGCTTATCCGCAGAGACTCACAATGAGGGAGCAGGTTGGGGTTCAGTGTCCCGCTCAAGGACATTTTGACAGGAAGTATGGCTGCTGATGGACACAGGCTGGCTGCTGGAGAAATCTAATCTGTGACCTTTGTGTGATGGGCCGTCTGTATAACCCCTGCTCTCAAACATGAATAACAATGAGCCTGGGCCGACATGATGATGATAATACATGTTATCATCTGTATTATTCTGGAATTGTGTAGCATTAAAAAAAAACAAAAAAAATGTAATAACAGCTTTTACGATTTGGAAATGTTGTTATATTACTGTGTATCTATTCCTATTATGTCATATTAATATTCTATTAATCGTACAGCTCTAATACCTAAATTGAAACAGACAGCACAAGTCTTTTATTTTTTGCCTTGAAATAAGTTATTTTTTACATTTGTTGATCTTATATTGGCCCTTTATGCAGACCCCCAGATCATCCTCTGTCTGAAACAAGCCATTTTAGCTTTCGCTTTTTTCAGTTTTTAAAGTCTGCCTTTAAAGTCTGAACATTAAAACAGGTTGTGCTTGATGTAATTGGTCATCCCATTAATACAGGTCATGAAGAGCTCCTTTCATAATGCCCTTCCAATTTTAGTGATGCGGGACAAAATCCACAGTCATCGTTCTGGGCACGTATTCTGTTCATCTGTAGCTAATATAAGGCTTCAGCAGTCTGAGTTAGATAGATCAAGTGGATATCTTCCAAACTTACAGAGGCTTAATGTTCACTTCAAATCAACTCTAAAACACATTTTGGCCCAAAACAAGGACTGTGGTTTCTGTCCAAGTCATGTTGTTCCAAATTAGGCAACCAGAATTGGAAATTCACATTCACACACATAATTTAGAGTCGCCAGTAACCTAACCTGCATGTCTTTGGACTGAGGGAGGAAGCCAGAGCACTAGGGATGGGACAATATACAGTATAATCGCTTATTGTGATAAAAAACACTGACTGAATTTCCAATATTGTGATATTCATGAATATCTTTACATGGCTTGAATTAAAAAAGTGGTCTAGCTCGCCAGCATACAGTCTTATATTCACAAGGGGGAGCCTGCAGCTTTCCATACATTTCAAAATGTTAAGCCTGTCACCATGGCTGGAGGCTCGGGTGGTCCATTGTATCCCCCACAAAACATTTAAAACGGATGTATGGAAATAGTATAGACTCAAAAATAAAGAACAGGGAGAAGAGGTGACTATCTGGGATGTAATAAGGAAGTGTTACTTAATGAAGTATGTTTTAGTGCCATTTGATTTTAAGTATGAAGTATATATTTTTTTGATTATCACGATAATATCATGTATTGCAATTACTTTGGCAAAAATAATCTTTCATTTTCATATCGTCCAATGCAGGAGCACCCAGAGAAAACCCACAGGAAGGGGCGTTTACCACAGCACCACCTGACGCCTTAAATTGCCCTCATAGGTGTGACTGGATGGAACTAAAAAATGAAGCATTACATTACGAGCTTTCTTCACCGAGATCATGGGGCTGGTAGCAACCCTTTGCTTATAACATGACAGCAGGACTGAGTCTAAGTTAGCAGATCCAACAACACACCCACTGACATTTAGGGATCCATGTCCTACAAGAAGTCACAGCTGTGGCTGTGTTCACCAGTCCACAAAGTTTTCATTGTCTTAAGTCATCCATTTCATCCAAAAATGTCTAAATGTTGGCTCCATGACAGCTTAGCTGAGCCAGCGACAGCGTGGAGGAAAACAGGACACAATGATGGGAAGAAAGACAAAAATGACTTGATTGGTATTTGGGGAACTGAATCCAGTCAAAGTCCCACAGCATACAACAGAAACATATTTGAGAAGTCTATAGTAGATCAACAGACTTGATAGCTTTTGTCAGTGTTTTCACAGTTCTGTCAGTTCACATTGAGTTCTGGTGCGAGTTTTATCCTTGACCAAACTCAGAAAAGTCAGAGTGGAAGAATCATAGTTTGACAGTCAAGGAAATGTCAAGAATATCTAAGGTACACAACACAATGTCAGACACCCACAGCTTCTTGTAAAGCAGAATGATAAACGAACATTATGCCTAATACTCCAAGTGTATAGTTCAGAAATAACATATTATTACAATGGATGCAAATGTACAAATGAGATCAGAGCTAGAGATGTTCCGATACCATTCCTCCCGTACCCGATTCTGTACTTGCTTGTGGGTTCGGCCGATACCACGGGTGACGATCCCATAGGCCAAGTATGTTATAAAAATAAATTCATAGTACGCTGCATGACTGGAATATGTTACATGTTGGAGGCTGGCTCAGGTTTAAACCTTTTACCAGGAATAAATCAGCAATTTCAAGCCATTTATTTTTTAAATAAAGACAAGTATGAAAACAGTAGT